GGCATATTGGGGGGTAAACCCTCTGCAACTGAGTCGGGCAGCCTTCCTGCGGGTGGATGCAGGAGGGTCTCATCCAGCCCGGAGTGGGGGTCCCATCCTAGCCACAGCCCTGGGGCATCGTTCATTTTGGGGGAGGGGGGGTGCTGAGCATCTCCCCAAAGCCCTTGGAGGGTCCTGGACCAGATCCTGCTCCAGGGAGAGGAGGTGGCAGAACCGCAGTGGGGCGGTGGCTGACTGCGGAGCATCCCTTGGGATGGCATGGAGGTGGTGGAGGCGAAGTAACCCTGCCAGGGGGGGCTGAGGAGGGGGACGAGGTGAGAAAACAGCTGCCCCCCTGTCGCCGCAGATCCCCTCTGCCGTCCGCTGCATCCACCCGGAGCGGGTGCTGGCTTTCCAGCAGCAGACCCAGTTCCTGTGGGAGGCGTACTTCTCCTCGGTCGACAAGATCGTGCACACCACGCTGGAGGTGAGCTCCCCGCAGCCCCAAACTCCCCCACTCAGTCCCCGGGGTCACAACTGGGATACTGAGAGCATCTCTCTGCCTTCTGGCAGATCATCAAGGATCGGCTGCTCCCGCACCGCTCCCGCTCCCGCTTTCTCTGGAACACGCTGCCTGGGGGGCTCCTGGCTCTGCCAGACTTCTCCACCCACCTCGGGGACTTTCCTTTCTACTACCTGCAGCACGGTAGGACCCTCAGCCTGCCCCGGGTGAGCACGGCAAACTCAGCGCATGCCACAACCCCTATCCTCTGGACCCCTTTTTTCAGGCTCCAGCCCCTCTGAGAAGTTCACCGCTTTCATCCGGGCCGTCTCGCCGACGGGGTCCCCATCCCAGCCCATCCTCAGGCTCATCCAAGCTGTCTCTGCGTCCCAGTACTGTGCCCAGGTTGGGGGAGCTGAGCCCCACGCTGCTCGGGGATGCAGCGGGAGAGACGGGGCAGGGTCCTGTGGGCTGGGAAGGGCGAGGGTGGCTGGTGGTGTCAGCCTGCTGGGGCAGAGGTGGGACCACCCGTGGGTTTATTGTGGTCCAAACCATGGTGAGATGTTTTTGGGGTGAGCTGGGTCAGAGCAGATCCCGCTGCGGTGCTGGGAGGGGGGTCAGCCCTGGCTGCCCTGCGAACACCGATGCAGCAACGCACCCCAAAGGGTCAGCCCAGCCACGGACACGCTGGTCCTTCCCTCTGCAGATCCTGGTGTTGTGGAGCTGCGAGAAGCCACCACCGCCGAGTGGGAAATGGCCGCAGACCACCGTGCCTCTGACCATCATCCAGGGCAGGGGGAAGGTGAGAGGAGCCGGGACGCGGGCAGGGAGCTGGGGCATCCGCCCCATGGCACATCCCAACCCGATTATTCCCCTTGGTAGCTCAGCGACCGCTTCTTCCCCTACGCGGCCATCCAGACGGACTGCGCCGGGCCGACCACCCCAGCCTCTCAACCAGCGAGGTGAGGCCGTGGGTGCTGCGGTCCCCGGCCCCGTGGAGCTGGGGCAAGCCCCGTGCCGAGCCGGGAAGGATGCTCAGTGGGCACCGTGGGGCTGGCAGGGAGCGGTGTCTGCTGTCCCCATGTCCCCCACACCCCAGGGGTGATGGTGAACCCCTTCCCATGGGTCCCCGCAGCCAGATGACACCGTCCTCCATCCTGCCCCAGGTGGACTTCGCCTTCGTGGTGTGGCGCAGCTTCCCCCAGCGCATCGTGGGCTTCCCCGCACGGAGCCACTTCTGGGACCCCGAGCAGAGGCGCTGGGGCTACACGTCCAAGTGGACCAACGAGCTCTCCATCATCCTCACCCCTGCTGCCTTCTACCACAGGTACCCGACCGGGGAGAGGCCAGCGGGGTGGGGGGGCTCGGCCATAACCTGCCCCCCTGCCTCACGCCCTCCCGCAGGTATTATCACAACCTCTTCACGGAGTACCTGCCAGCGGGGCTGCGGGAGCTGGTGGACGGCCTGGCTGCCTGCGAGGACATCCTGATGAACATCCTCGTGGCTGCTGTCACCAAGCTGCCTCCCATCAAGGTCACCCAGTGGAAGCAGCACAAGGAGACCGTGCCCCAGCAGGTAGGGAGCAAGGATGGGGATGCAGGGACCCCCCCGGCTGGGGAGCGGAGCCCCTCACCACCATGCTATGCTCCCCCCCTGCCAAGGCGAGGGGCACGGCGGGGGTAGCCAGCGGCCGGCGTTTCTCCCAGCGGCAGGACTGCCTCAACCAGTTGGCAGACTGGTTCGGCTACATGCCCCTCGTGTCCTCCCAGCTGCGCCTCGACCCTGTCCTCTTCAAGGACCAGGTCTCCGTCCTGCGCAAGAAATACCCGCGCTTGGAGAAACCCTGAGGGCTGCCGGGGGTTGAGGTCGGGGCTGGCCCCAGGTGCTCCATTCCTGGTGCACGGAGCCCTCCCGGAGCAGGCGGTTGCTGCTGACGGGGTTTTACTCGTTGTTGGGTTTTACCAGTTATTGGGTTTTACCAGTACAATAAAGGTGGGTGGAGAGGCAGAGTCTGGCTGGGGGCTGGAG